ATCCCAGCCACACTGGGGTGCAGCTCAACTGATTTATCTTCTCCTAGCTTACCATGCTGAAGCTATAGAATAAACAATCCCTACAGTAACCATATTAAGATTGCAAAGAAGTTCATTACCTAGGGCTATAATAAGGCAGAATGGCGGATAAATGGTTTTCATATATGAGCACAGATTTTTTTTCCCAAAACGGATATATGAGCACAGAATAAACCAGGAGAAAGTAGATGTATCTTTGTTAATTTTCAGAATAGAGAAGCATTTTACCTTTCTGTATTGTTTATAGGCATCACGGCCAGTTAACTCCTGTCCATTTTTAGAGACATAAACCTGCAGCAATAATAAGATTAATGAAGCAAGTGATGAATGCATAGCACTAAAACAGAAGTGGCTAGAAGGCCTTCATTTTATCAAAAACTTGTTCAGGACATTAACAGCTCTCAGGCAGGTTCCAGGGGGCCTCCAGGCCCAGCATGAAGCACGCAGGGTAGCAATCAAACAAGCTCTTACAGAAAATTAACTGGAACTCTGAAAATTAAACATTCTTACCTTCCTGCCATCCTCTCCAGTGAACCAATGGCCAGAGCCAGACTGACTTCCCCCAGCATGTACCCTTCTTTTGCCAAAATCTGTTGGGACAGAAGTCCTACTGTTGGGAGTCACCCACCGATCATTAGCACCACTACTCTGGCCAAACTGGCTCCTACTAAAAAGAAGCAAAAGAACAGCAATTAGCAAATGACACTACCAAGAAATTAAAGCATGGATTATGATGTGTCTTACCTGTAGTTCAGATTTTCTTCTACAATGTACTCATTTCCCTCGGAAGTGCCAGCCCCAATGGGAACAAAGTGCTTTAATCTTTCACGGACCAGGTTCTGCACCATCTGATCACGGTGACAGAAATAATGCATGGCAGGTGGATGGTTGTCCGTCAGATTCTCTTCGAGTACAACTCCGGTTGAAGTGCTTTCATGCTGGAAATGTTCCCCAATTTCACTAACAGAGCTGTATGGTCGTGAAACCTTGGAGCCAGAAAAACTGTTGGTTTTTGTCTGCTGGGATGGTGTTGAGTGTTGGACAGATTTGAAATACTCGCTGCAGAAGTCATCAAGAGCAGGTGTCGCCCAACTGTCCTTCAGTATATCTTCACTCTTCTGGACAACAGTGCTCCCTTCAGATTTACTGTTTTGCTGCGATACAGGCTTCTTCTGCATATACTTGTGCACGGATTCCTGTCTCTTCTTGATAGGACTCATGGGCTTCTTTGGTTTACTTTGTTTCCTGTTATCATCTGAATCAGTGTCCGAATCAACAAAATAAATTTTCCTCAGTGGGCTTATTGTTATCTTAGGAAGTAGCTTCTTCGTGCAGCTTTCTTCTAGGGGTTTTGAAGCAACAGAATTTGACATTGGTGTAGATTTTGTTGTCTTGGCTTTGCTTGTTGATTGAGTCATCAGTACACTGCGGTTCAGAAGAGAGAATTTTGAATTGCTAGAAGTCCTGCAACTACCAACTGATGGTGTCATGCCTGCAAGTAGATAAGAGAAGATGACTTAAATACAAGTGCTAAAGGTTCTCAAAGGAAAAACATAACAACAACTTTATTGCCGATGTTGTCAATGCATGGATTAAAAACAGGGAGCTAAAGGAAAAGGATCATGTCTACATAAAATTTGTTTGAGCACACCGCTATTTACTCCCTTTACTGACAACACAAAAACACATATCTGCTCAGTACACTACAAAACAAATTCATTTTCTGGAACACAGCACCTCAATTTAAAATCTCTTCCTAACCTAACAGTTGAGAGAAAACACTTAATTTTTTTCGTTCATATCAGGATTTGCTCACAGTGGCTGTTGATAATTTCATTTCAGAATGCTACAAGCTAAACAAAACACATTTTTAACCAAAAAAATGAGAACATTTCAGCATGAATAATTCAACTTTTTGCAGCCACGTTTCAGGAAAAAAGTTGGCACAGGGCATGTGAGCACCAAATGAAAACACTGCATATTATTAAGGTTCAACATACTCAGATGATTCAGTTTCAGCTACATCGCATAGAAAGTAGTTAAAGGTTCATCCACATAATAACAGAATGCTGATAATATCACCAGAGAAATGAAGCAGGTCGATTCAGTCAGTTCAAGTGTGGTCTAAGCCACAATAGGCAAGAAACTGTGCTGTTTACATAATTTCTCTGAAATGCTTAGGCTAGGAAAAGATTTTTTTAGTAGAGGCAGTTTGCTCTAGCAAATGAAGTGTGTTAAATAACAGCACTGAGCAAAACTGTGTTTACCGACGTGCGCAAAAAAATGGTGGAAAATAACTATGTACCGGAGCAAACTTTGCATGTATATTGGGCTAGCAGTTGCTTGTTGGGGCACTTTGCTGTCATGGATCAAAATTGCAATTGAATGGATTTTAATCATTGTTCATCAAGCAGACATAATATATGAAACTGTTTCTTTCTTCTTATGCTGAAAATGTCTGGTCTAGGAGGGAAACAGCAGATGATATTGTGAAATCAATCTGTGTGCAAGGCAGATTAGGTAAATTTCAGCTGTTTTTGTCACCATACAGATCCAGAATGAATCAATTTTCAATACTAATACTAAAAATAACCAAAAATGATCCCATGATTTCTGAAGGTATGTTTAAATATCTAGATGCTACACTACCTGGTTATGTGTACAAAAACGAACTACGTTGCCACAAAATTGAACAAATAGAGTCAGCATTTCCATTGTTCATTCAATTTTTTCACATACTAGTAGACTACACAAGGAATCAACTATGCATATTTCTATGGAAGATATCCAGCAATAGATTCACTGATTTACACAGGCATGTGGAGATAATTAATCACAATTGCATGATTAGTAACAAACACCTCTTAAGTAAGAGAGTTGAACAGAAATTCCACAAATAGAGACCAGCGTTTCCCTCACCTCGTGGTGGCTCCTCGTCACTGAAATCTTCAATTTCGTCCTCGTAGCTCCCAATATCCCCAAGTGGTGCCGCCTTCCGGCTGAAATCCGGAGATGCTTCCGTAGCCAGGGGCGGTGCTGCCCTAGGAGGAGGAGGAGGAGGAAGAGGAGGAGGAGGAGGCGCCATAGAACGCGGTGCAGGGCCTCTCCGCAACCTCTTCAGTCGATTCGTCTCCGGCTGCGGAGGCAGGGGGTCCGGGTCAAGGGCTCCGCCGGCAACGAAGTTGTCGTCGTCGTCGATTCCGAGTGAGAACGAGGGCGCGTCGGGCGCCTCGTAACCCGGCGCAGGACCCCTCCGCAACCTCTTCAGTCGATTCGTCTCCGGTTGCGGAGGCAGGGGGTCCGGGTCAAGGGTTCCGCCGGCAAAGTCGTCGTCGTCGTCGAGTCCGAGGGAGAACGAGGGCGCGTCGGGCGCCTCGTAGCGCGGCGCCTGCTCCTTCCGGCGGCCTCCAGCGGGGAGGTGGTGGGGTTCGCTGGCTCCCCCCCCGTCGTCGTCGTCGTCCAATCCGAGGGAGAACGAGGGCGCGTCGGGCGCCTCGTAACGCCGCGGCCGCTCCTCCCGGCGGGCTCCAGCGGGGATCTGGGGCTCGCCGGCGCCCCCGTCGTCGTCGTCGAAGCCGAGGCCGAGCGAGAACGAGGGGGCGTCAGGCGCCTCGTACCGTTGCGCGACCCCCTCAGAGCGGCCCCCGGCAGGGATCCGGGGCTCGTCGCCGTCGTCGTCGTCGTAGCACTCGAAATCGAGACCCAGAGAGAAGGACGGCGCGTCGGGCGCCTCGTACCCTCGCGCCTCCTCGCGCGGGTCGCCTCCGTCGTCGGCGTCGGCGGGGGTCGGGTCGTCGAGGTCGAGGCCGAGGGAGAAGGAGGGGGCCGTGAAATCCATGGCGACGGCGCGGCAGGAGAAGCTGGCTAGGGTTAGGGGATCGGGATTTGGGGGAATGGAGGGAACGCAGGGGAGGTGGCCAGGTGGGATTTGGCGTTTCAGAGCAGGGGAGGATGGGGGCGACTGCGAGAGACCGCAGGATGGAGATCTGGCGGCGGGGAGGTCGATTAAGAGGGCCACTCGGTGGCGGGAGAGCTTTGTTTCGTAAATTTCAGTGGAGGGAACCGTGGAAATTCGAACGGATCTCCGTGCTGCTCTCGACCTGTTTGGCGGAAATCGGCCAAAATTCGTGTGAAATTTGTTGTGCGCCGTGCGTTTCTACCTACGTGGACTTGTGATGTCTATTTCCATATGGTGCTGCACTTTTGATGTGACGTTAATTTTCTCTATGCGCCTTTCATGTGACGGCGATCCGTTTGATGTCTTCGACGCCGAGTGCAATCGACTAAATTCATGTGAAATTTGTTGTGTTGTTCCGGACCGTCCCCTGAACGGAACAACATCACACAGAAGGTGTACAGTACCATTGGGCCATTGCCAGTGAGCTGTTGAACGGGCAGGGCTTTGTTTCCCTTCTGGTGCAAATGATACTTTCTGTGAATAAATGGAAACTAGGCATGCATTGAGTGGACTGTGGCATGTCTGAAACACACGATTTCTAAAGAAAATTCCAAACCAAACTTACATGCAGAATGAAGAAAAATAATTCCCAGGCAGCTTATGCGAATGAAGCAAATTTGAAACCACAAAGAAAACAACCAAGTAAATGTTGGCATGTACACTGGTACAACGGGAGGGGAGGCACCATCATCATTTCTGGCCTAGTACTAGTAACCAAAGCACGAGGCTGCTACGCAAAGAAAGATCGAATCATCATGTAGAAAAGACATACACAATACAGAGCTTGTCGATCCCTGTGTTTTTGTTAAAAAAGCAGTTCTCCCTTTTCTTTCCACATGCTGCTTTCCCCCCAGAATGTCGACCCTCGGACCGGAGACATGTTAAAAGATACATCAAGGAGCTACCATATGTGCCATATGTGCCTTACAACCAAGCCCGCCTGACGATATGTTTTTCTTGAATATGCCCGTGCAAATGAAAACTAAAACATGGTCCTTTTTGCTCACTTGCCTCTTTTCAAATCGTACGCCACACAAGCATCTGCAGCTGTTTTCATCTGCAAACAGGAAATGTACATGAATGTCGCATCAAAGGATATCATTGTTACTGTCAGAATTATGTGGAGTAACACATTGTTCTAGTGATATACATATGCCTAAAACTTGACCATTGCAGAACACAAGCACATGAGTGTTAGCCTAATTGCAAAAAAAAAAAACAGCTCTGCATATATGATCATGTGCAAATAATAGTTAGTTCCACTAAAGTTGTTGTTCAATACCTGGATGACATTGATCACTTGTTTGAGTGCCCACCCAATTAGAGTTGAAATGAACATGAAGACAACGAGGGGACTTTCCTTCAGAATACCTCTGCACGTCTGTAGCATACAGGAATGCCAGATGCTAAGCAACATGCATGCTAATTGCTTGATTAGAGAAGAAAGCTATAGACATTATGTTATCTTACATTAAGCAAGCTTGTGGACTTCGCGTCAGCATAGAGAAACAGGATAATGTACAGAACCTGTAAGTTGAAAAATTTGCATGTGAGAAGATGGAATAATTGGTGCTCGATGTGCAGATATGGCGTTCCGATGGATATATAATGTTTGTTAAATCAGTTCCATGGGCATAACTGCAGATGCATGATGGGCTTGTTCATTGGGGTGGCGTTACACAAATATGTCATGTATCAAGCTGTTAAAACCCACACCTATCCATGCTACGCCCCATGTGTTACTCAGCTCACTCAACCAAATAACATCCCGAAATGCGCTCATGTTGTATTCCTTGATTTGTGTTCATCATTCAAGCTGTTTCAAGTGTGAACAACCATTTACCTCAGAAGCAACACAACAGAACGCCATGAACGGCCGATATCCATAATATAACTTCAAAAGCCCATTGCCTGTGTGCTTCACATCCTTGTGGCTAGTCTTACCTGATAGGAAAGAACTAGTAGAGAAATTTATATCATAAGATGGTTAGCAATTGATGCATAATTGAACTAGAGACAGAAAACGAAATATAGCAAATGAAGCTCTTGAACAATGAGCAAAAATTCTATGCACCATAAAACCATCACATAATACTTGCACAGTTAGCATAGTTGGTGTTTATATTCATTATCTTCCTTTTGGTGTCTTTAGATACAGGATTAGGTACCTACTAGGAGAACAAAAGAGAAATCCGGCATGAGCTGTACAAATTGATAGAGAAACTAACCTGTACATTTGAAACCAGTGGCTTGTGATGTCCAACCCAAGTAACAGTATGAAAACCAAGCCAGGTCTGAAAAGAAATTGTATACAGAGCACTTTCAAGGAACAATGTGGCATGTAAGTAAATTAAGATCGAAGTGCTTTGAGCTCTAATTTTGTATACCTGTAAAACTGTGAGAGAAGCGCCAACAAACAAGCAGTGCTAACCCTGAAGTAGATCAATATGAGAAATGAAACTAGTTCGTGCTGCAGAATATTTACACCTGGCGTATACATCATTAAATGATTTATTCAAAGAGTACCTATCTGTTACCATGTCCAACACAGCTCCAAATGTTGATGCTGATACATGCAAAAGGATAAAGTTGTCAGATAGTTTCAAAAAGTTGCCTATTGTGTTATATATACAGGGAAATTAAATAAGAACAAAAATCTCTTTCAAACAGGACATAAGCAGATATTTTTGTGATCATTAATTACCATCTACTTTTGCAAAGTTCACTGAATAAATGCAAAGTTTCAACATACAGAAAAGGCCACAAATCCCTCTTCGCTGTAGAAGGACAGACTACATTACAACGCTTGAACATAAAAGGGATGTGACTTGTTACCTTGATTGAACCTCCTCGCAAACCAACCATCCAAGCCATCACAGAAGAAGCTGGTATATTCCAAAAGTGTTAGAATCATAGAGACAAAGTAATTGGATAAGATCATTAACACAACTGATTTTAGATAAATTTATGACGCTTGCCTGAAGAAGTACAGGATAGCAAAGAGTGTTCTGTTGGTATAGCACACAGCAAATGCAATGAAGTTTATGATGATCCTGAAATATCCTGCAGAATAACAGTAATCATATGTTAAAACATACACATCCAATCCACACACCAGCAACAATTTGTATGTGGGAAAACATTGCACTCTTCCGAATATTCCATGGCATGCTTTTTTATGTTATCGACTTTTTGCTATTATCTGTTCCATGCTTCCTTTTGGTTGCTATTTTTTCTGTGTGATGCTACTTAGTGCAAAATGGTGAAGCTGGTGCAGGAAAAGATGATACATCTATTGTAGGTATAATAACTTAGATTAGAGAGGCAAACAATCCAGTGGTGGCAAGGTGACAGTATCTCGAGTTGCAAATGACCATAATAGAATCATCCAGCAAGTTAAATGTGGACTGGTGGGGTTATATAATCGGCATAGTGATGATAATTCTTCTAACATAGCATTTGCACACTGGATATGGTCAACAGCACCATGAGTCCATGATATACTGATATGTAAACAGCCGATCATCCAGAGGTTTACCAATGATGTTAGGGATGTACAGGTACACCGACAGCGTCTTTTTAGCTGGAGGCTGCGCCATTGAAGGTCAGACGTACCGACTGCTAGAAGACTGGCAGTTTCTTACTTGAAACGGGAATCCTTGTCGAGATTCCTGCAAAATCATTGCATCATTTCACAGAATTGTCCAACAATACCCTCTCACGTGCAATGCAATAAGTCATCTCCAGGCAACAAAACGGTACCGCTACGTGTTGACGTTGCTGGCCATAGCTACCTACGTAATTCGTTCACACCACCGTGTAACCCTCGTCTCGTCTCGATCGATCCAGATCGGGGCTCGCTCCTAATTAACTGTTCGATTCGCTACGAACACGGGGCAGGGGCAACGTACCGCGGGGCCTCGAAGGCGTCGTGGTCACCAGCAGCGCCCGACCACGTCGTCGCCGCCGCCGCTGGAGCACCGTCGTAGCACAATCGATGCCGTCGGTGGGGAAGGGCCGCGCGGCTGGGGCGGTACGGTGGACGGCGGGGTGGGGAGGAGCGGCAGGGAGACGGCGCGGCGGGGGGAGCGGCGGGAGGAGCGGCAGGGGGGCGGCGCGGCGGGAGGGGCGGGGGTTGGGGAGCGGCGGTGGGAGGAGCACGGTGGAAGCGGCGAGGCAGGGGGGCGAGGACTCGAGAGGGGACGGACGCGGCTAAGGTCGTGACAGGCGGCTCGTTCTTTTTTGACCCCCGCTTTCTCTTTTTCTTTTTCTGTTAAGGGAATATAATTCTCTTTGGCGAGATCTCAAATCTCAAAGTATGCTGTTATGCTGTTATCCCATCCCTTGCTTGTGCAAATTGCAACTCTCGGTCCATCGCATCGCACCGCTTGACTTGTGTGCTGGGGTGCAGCTAGAACCAGAATAAAGTGGCCACGAATGTTCTCCGGCGTGTGGAGCTCTCTCGTCCGTTCTTTCCCTTGATGTCTCGCTGGACGGTGGGGCCTGTGGTGTTGAGCCTTGTGTTTTGTTGTAGACTTTTATGTCTTAATGAAGTCTGAATGATTGATGATATTTGTGGTTTGGGTTCCAACATTAAAATAGGTATATTTTGGTGAAGTAAACTTTTATAATTGTTCGAATCCTACTAAGGGCTTATTTGATTCAAAGGATTTTCATAGAAATGTTGAAGGATTAATTTTTTTTCCTGCGTTGGTTGTTGATTCATAGATCGAATCATATATAATATTTTCCTAAGGATTTCCTTGTACTGCTTTTCATAGGATTTCTAGCATCTACTCAAACCTCTCTAAAAGAATCCTTTGTTTTTCCTACGACGCAGTCCAACAAACCAAAATCCTATAGGATGGAGATGAGCATGACATTTAAATTCTATGTTTTTTTCTATTCCCATATTTTTACAATCCTACGAATCAAAAAGGCCCTAAATATGTAAGGGCATCTTTGATTCAAAGGATCTTCATATGGATAACCGCAAAAAAAAAGGATCTTCGTATGGATAGTGGAGAATTATAATCCTTGGAAAAAAACTATGTTGGTTGTTTGTTTCATATGATTGAATCATATAGGATTTTTTTCCAAAGGAACCCACTGCGCTGTATTTACAGGAATATTTACATCCACTCTAGCCACGTGTAAACAACTCCTTGTCTCAAAAGTCCTCTTCTACACTCGAGCTCAAATGAGCTCGGGCTGAGCAATAAATCAAAAATATTGAAACTAAGTTCAAAAAAATCTGATTTCTTTTTATGGCAAATTTTGACAAATGTTCTAAGAGCTTGCAAAATTTCATCATGACATCATATTATGGAAGTCGTGGTGTAGCGATCCAACCTCGAACGGTCGTATCTCTGTGCATAAGTGTCATCCCTGGATCGGTAATGCTGACACACACAGTACTTCGAAGGATTTATAACAGAGTAGCAATCACACACTTATTACATCGATAGTCTCAAGAAAGAACTTATTACAATAAGCATGGCTTAAGGCCATCTAAATAAGATAACAACGGAAGGCTTGGAAGATAAAGCGAATCCATCAACTCCAACGACATAGCTGAGTGCACGACAACGACCTAGCGCACCTTACTCTTCGTCTGAAAAGTCTACAACATAATATGTTGCAGCCTGAAACGGGTTAGCACATAGAATATGCTGGCAAGATAACACAGTAGAACAAAGAACAAGTAAAGGCTATCACTACATGCATATGAGGCCGGTGGAGGCTCTACGGTTATAAATTTTTGCGAAAAGCCAATTTTTCCCTACAACATAGGAATATATTTTGTTTAACTATCATGGTGGTTGTTAAACATTGAGAAGGTTCCTCCAACTCAATCCCAATTAAATAGTATTAATAACTGAGGGAGTCCTGGATTAGGGGGTCTCCGGAGAGTCGGACTATTAGACTATGAAGATACAAGATTGAAGACTTCGTCTCGTGTCCGGATGGGACTCTACTTGGCGCGAAAGGCAAGCTAGGCAATACGGATATGGATATCTCCTCCTTTGTAACCGACCTTGTGTAACCCTAACCCTCTTCGGTGTCTATATAAACCGGAGGGTTTTAGTCCGTAGGACAACAACAACTACAACATACAATCATACCATAGGCTAGCTTCTAGGGTTTAGCCTCTCTGATCTCGTGGTAGATCTACTCTTGTACTACCCATATCATCAATATTAATCAAGCAGGACGTAGGGTTTTACCTCCATCAAGAGGGCCCGAACCTGGGTAAAAACATTGTGTCCCCTGCCTCCTGTTACCATCCGCCTTAGACGCACAGTTCGGGACCCCCTACCCGAGATCCGCCGGTTTTGACACCGACATTGATGCTTTCATTGAGAGTTCCTCTGTGTCGTCGCCGTTAGGCTTGATGGCCCCTACTATCATCGATGGCGATGTAGTCCAGGGTGAGACTTTTCTCCTCAGACAGATCTTCGTGTTCGGCGGCTTTGCACTGCGGGCCAATTCGCTTGATCATCTGGAGCAGATTGAAAGTTATGCCCCTGGCCACCAGGTCAGGTTTGGAAGCTTAAACTACACGGCCGATATTCGTGGAGACTTGATCTTCGACGGATTCGAGCATCTGCCTTGTGCGTCACGTGGTCACGATGAGTACGATTTAGCTCTACCATCGAACAGTGTCCAGAAGATCGCACAGGCAGCCGCTCCGACCCTCAATTCGGAGCCAGTTGTGCCATCCATGGATGGGTGGATAGACCCCGCAACGGAGGCCTTACCCTCAGCGGCGATCGAGCCAAACATCGATCTTACCTTGCACGAGAGCCGTGCTGTTAAACTGCCGGATCCTTCTGAAGGAAATATGCCCTAGAGGCAATAATAAAGTTATTATTTCCTTATTTCATGATAAATGTTTATTATTCATGCTAGAATTGTATTAACCGGAAACATAATACATGTGTGAATACATAGACAAACAGAGTGTCACTAGTATGCCTCTACTTGACTAGCTCGTTGATCAAAGATGGTTAAGTTTATTAACCATAGACATGAGTTGTCATTTGATTAACGGGATCACATCATTAGGAGAATGATGTGATTGACTTGACCCATTTCGTTAGCTTAGCACTTGATCGTTTAGTTTTGTTGCTATTGCTTTCTTCATGACTTATACATGTTCCTATGACTATGAGATTATGCAACTCCCGTTTACCGGAGGAACACTTTGTGTGCCACCAAACGTCACAACGTAACTGGGTGATTATAAAGGTGCTCTACAGGTGTCTCCAAAGGTACTTGTTGGGTTGGCGTATTTCGAGATTAGGATTTTTCACTCCGATTGTCGGAGAGGTATCTCTGGGCCCACTCGGTAATGCACATCACTATAAGCCTTGCAAGCATTGCAACTAATGAGTTAGTTGCGGGATGATGTATTATGGAACGAGTAAAGAGACTTGCCGGTAACGAGATTGAACTAGGTATTGAGATACCGACGATCGAATCTCGGGCAAGTAACATACCGATGACAAAGGGAACAACGTATGTTGTTATGCGGTCTGACCGATAAAGATCTTCGTAGAATATGTAAGAACCAATATGGGCATCCAGGTCCCGCTATTGGTTATTGACAAGAGAGGTGTCTCGGTCATGTCTGCATAGTTCTCGAACCCGTAGGGTCCGCACGCTTAACGTTCATTGACGATATAGTACTATATGAGTTATGTATGTTGATGACCGAATGTTGTTCGGAGTCCGGGATGAGATCACGGACATGAAGAGGAACTCCGGAATGGTCCGGAGATAAAGTTTGATATATGGGATAGTAGTGTTTGATCTCCGGAAGGGTTCCGAAATTCACCGGAAGGGGTTCCGGATGTTTCCCGAAATGTTTGGGCACGAGAACACTTTATCTGGGCCAAAGGGGAAAGCCCACGAGGCTTTTGGAAAGTGCAAAAGGAAGTTTTGCGGAGACCAGAGGCTAACCCTGGCGTCTAGGGGGTAGACGTCGGGAACCCTGGCGTCTAGCCCTGGAGTCCGAGAAGGACTCTTGCCTTTTGGGTGAAACCGACTTTGAGGAGGCTTTTACTCCAAGTTTCGACCCGAGAGCTCAACATATAAATAGAGGGGTAGGGCTAGCACCAAAGACACATCAAGAAACACCAAGCCGTGTGCCGGTAACCCCGTCCCCTCTAGTTTATCGTCCGTCATAGTTTTCGTAGTGCTTAGGCGAAGCCCTGCGGAGATTGTTCTTCACCAACACCGTCACCATGCCGTCGTGCTGCCGGAACTCATCTACTACTTCGCCCCTCTTGCTGGATCGAGAAGGCGAGGACGTCACTGAGCCGAACGTGTGCAGAACTCGGAGGTGCCGTGCTTTCGGTACTTGGATCGGTCGGATCGTGAAGACGTACGACTACATCAACCGCGTTGATATAACGCTTCCGCGAACGGTCTACGAGGGTACGTAGACAACACTCTCCCCTCTCGTTGCTATGCATCACCATGATCTTGCGTGTGCATAGGAATTTTTTTGAAATTACTACGTTACCCAACAGTGGCATCCGAGCCTAGGTTTTATGCGTTGATGTTGTGCACGAGTAGAACACAAGTGAGTTGT